AGTAAGGATAGTTAGACTTCATCTCTCGTACTTCTGACATATTAGTAAAAGTGTCCAGTCAAGTCACGGCAGAAGGAAATCATGTTTGGTAAAGTGGAGGATTGGAGAAAAAGAGGAAGACCCTTAACAAATTGGATTGACACAGTGGCAGCAGCCATGGGGTCAGGCATAGCAACAATTGTGAGGTTGGCCCAGGATCGGGCAGTGTTTCACTCTGTTGTTCACCGGGCCGCTATGGGTCGGTAGTGACTCGATGGTACCCAATAGCAACAAGCAAGACTTTTCCCCTACCTCATGCAGAAAGGTCAGAATCGGTCTCCCTTCAGGAGGGTGAGTGGGGAAAGTCTCTCCAGAAAATGCTTTTGTTTAGAATTAACAAAATCTTCCTCGTTGTCCCCTTTTTCTTCATTCAGTTTCTGGTCTTTTCTCGCTTTGGCAGTTTTCTTCTCTTATATATCTCTGAAATTGACCTCCAGCATCATCAAATAAATTTGCTACCACACTGATTTTCTCCTAGAATAGAGTTCTCCCTCAGTATGCCATGTGAGCATTAATTAACAGAATAGCAAAAAGGCTGAGAGAGTAGCCATAAGGAAAGACTACACAGGAAGGGTAAGAGACACTAAACGGGAGGTAGCAATTGATAAAAACTTACTCTAAAAAAGACAGAGAGCAGACCCAAAGGGTCATGGCACGAAGGTAGAAAGGTTACCCTTGAGATAGAATGTGAGGCTGGGTAATCCTAAAACCAAGCAGCAGAGAGTAAAGATCAGGGCAGAATCAGTAATTCTAAGTTCATTTTCAGAAGGAGGCAAGGTCATGCGTTTGTAGTTAAAGAAGAAGGAGTTTGGCTAGGGCCATGGGAGAGTGTTGAAGTATGAAATAATAGATGATGAGAACAATAAGCAAGCCATCTATTCAACATCAACTGGAGTCATGATCAGCTCCAACAACCCAGCTGCAACTTGAAATCAATCTTTTTTGGCTATCTCTCTGCACAGTTAAGCAGTATTCTCCAGCCAGGTTAGCAAGACATTCCATTAACTTGTCCCAGCCCCCATTTTTCCAGTGTATTACACTTGAACTTTGCTTCCTCCCTCCTCTAACCAATGTGTACTCCAAGTTTGATCGTTTATATGCTTAGTCGTCAACACCCTGGACTTTCTCTCCCTCTTGTCTTTATGTGGCTTCTGCTCTGCAACTTCTATTCTGTCAGAATAGAAGATGAGAATGCATTTGGTGGAACCTTATAAAACTGCCATGTCTGTAGGTCAACAATGACTAAATATCCAGGGGTTTGATGAGGGGCAGACATCAGAATGAAACTAACTGGCATGAGGACTATGAAACGTCTGTATTCTTGTTTGGAATTTGCTGAGAGTCCCTGGAGATGTCAGGACCTTGCTAACAGTCGTTACTCAAATCAATCTATTCAGAAGCTTCACCCTGAAGAAAGGGAAGTTCATAATACTGCTTAACTGTGCCGGAAATCTACTCTGGCATTTCATATTTTCATTCCCCCCACCCCCACCCCCGACAGTTGTCAAGGATACAAACAAAATTCAAAACAAGACTGATGGGAGAAAGGGTTTTTTCAATGACAGGTTCAAAAACAGTAACAACAACAATTCATAATGGGGCCTTAATTGTTGTTGTTGTTGTTAGGTGCCATCATGTCGGTACTGACCCACAGCGACCTTAGGCAAAGCAGAACGAAACACTGCCCGATCCTGGGCCAACCTCACTACTGTTGCCACACTTGAGTCCATTGATGCTGCCACCTGGCCAATCCATCTCACTGGGGGTCTTCCTCTTTGTCTATGACCCTCCACCTTACCAAACATGATGTCTTTCTTCAATGATTGATCCCTCCTGACAATATGTCCAGCGTATGAGAGGTGAAGTTTGGCCATCTTGGCCTCCAAGAAGCACTCTGGCTGCACTTCTTCCAAAACGGATCTATGGTTCTTTTGGCAGTCCATGGCACTTTCAATATTCTCCTCCAACACCATAACTCAGAAGCATCAATTCTTCTACGATCTTCCTTATTCACTGTCCAGCTTTCGCACGCATATGAGATTACTGAAAATACCTTAATTAGAGATGACCAATCTAGCTGTTGTTATAACTAGAATTAAAGGTAAATTACTCAAATAGATGTATTCTCACTGTAGGCCCTGAATGTCACTCTTCAAATCCTGTGTTTCTCAATCACCCTTTCTTTAAAATGTCATGTCATCCTTCATCTGTGCCTAAAGTTTTACTATGAAAACTGAACGTGTTGAGATACCTGAAAAACCTTAATTTTGAAAGATGAGAGAAACTCGACCAACTTCCAAGAAATGAGATTAATACTCAGTGTTGCCTCCAAACTCTGCAAATAGCAACGAAAATTAAACCTGTGATGACAATTAACAGGTACTGTAATTTTCCAATAAAAACTAGTTGATTAAAAAGAAAAAGCAGTAATCACTTGCTGTCAACTCAATTCCCATTCTGAAGACCCCCAGGTCTGTCAGAGTAGAACTGTATTCCTTAGGGTTTTCAATGGCTGATTTTTTTTTTTTAGAAATAGATTACCAGGTCTTCAGAGACAACTTTGGAGACTTGAACCTCCAACCTCTCAATTTTTAGCTAAGTGTCTTAATCTTTTGCATCATCCAGAGACTCCATAATATAATAATTTATTGTTGTCGCTGTTGTTGTTCTAAGTGCCGTTGAGTTGGTTCCAACCCATAGCGACCCTGTATAGGGTTTCCGAGGAGTGGCTGGTGAGCTTGAACTACTGACCTTGTGGATCAAATGGCTTTGCAGTCCAGCTCACTAACGTGCAGTGCCACACCAGTACTACAAATATTTCTTCCCAGGAGAATCAAACCTGGGCTATGGCAGTGAAAGTGCTGAATCCTAGCCATGAGACCACTAGGAACACTAATAAATAATAAATAATAGTAATATTAAAAGTAAAATCATAACCATATTAATATTACCATAACATCTTTAGTTTGTGGGGGGCATGGTTTTGTGCTGTGGAGTCAGTTCCAACTCACAGCCACCCTATATACGGTTTTTTGTTATGGGAGCAGAAAGCCTCATGTTTCTCCTGTGGAATGGCTGGTAGTTTTGAACTGCTGACCTTGAGGTTAGCAGCCTGACTCATAACCACTATGCTACTAGAGTTCTTTAAAAATACATTATTTGATGTGGTCATCTCAAAATTCCTATGAAATTCGTTTACTACCCAGAAAACTGTCAACGTTTCCGCGGGTGAAAGATGAAGCATTCTGCTCCCACAAAGATTTACAGCCTCGGAAACCCTGTGCAGGGTCACTATGAGTCGGAACCTACTCCATGGTACTTAACAACAACAACAAACCCAGAAAACTGAGGCTCAGGGAGGTGGTCTTGGATCAAGTTCAAACAACTAGGATTGCCTAGAACTAGAGGCTAGTCCATTGACTCCAAGCCGGAGCCTATTCCCACCTCATTCCAATGAAAGACCCTGTAGATATAATTGTAGGGTAGTTTGTTATTGTTACTTGTCTTTGAGTAGATTTTGGTTTAAGCCAGCCCTTATGTACAGAACAGAACTGCTCCACAGGGTTTTCAAGGATTTTCAGAAGCAGGTGACCAGGTGTGTCCCCCTGAGGCAACTAAAGGTGGGTTCTTCCTTCATCAAAGTTTACACCACCCAGGGACCTTTGAGGGGTAGTAAAAACCATGGTGTGACACTGTAGGATAGGCACTGGACAACAAAGTCAATCTCAACCGCAAGGTGGAGGTTCACAAACCATCAGCCACTCCTCAGAAACCCTATACAGTCAGAAAAGGAGCTCTCGTAGCACAGTGGTTTTCAACTCGGACTGCTAATCTCAAGGTCAGCAGTTCGAAACTACCAGCTGTTCCTTAGGAGAAAGATGAGGCTTTCTGCTCCCATAAAGATTTATAGCCTCGGAAACTCTGTACAGGGTCACTATGAGTCAGAACCGACTCCATGACACACAACAACGAGTCAGAAATGACTCAAGGACACTTAACAATAACAATAATGAAGGTCCTTTTAAAATATGATAAGGCTGGTGGGAAGGAGGATTTCACTTTAAGAAGCAGATCACCCCAGTGGATCTTGTCAAATCAGGACATCCCTCCCTTCTTGACATAAGCATGCCCCAAATCTAATTGAAGAATCCACAGAAACCAGGTCACTCACAGGGACACTACTAACGTCCTAAGGAAGAAAGCGGCCAGGAGAACCAAGAGAAGGAGAGCTGAGAGTGAGCAGGGAAGTAAGGAGGATGCACACAAACATCACCCCAAATGCTTCCCAAGGTCAGATTGCAGCAAGTGAGGTAATGCTGTTTGGGGAGTGAAGTAAACATTACTCTAACTGCTCTCAGAATTTTATTTTATTTTATTTTTTTCATTTTCCCTTCACCCTTTTTCTCTCTCAATTTTGAATTTTTTTTTTTACCATTTGAAATAAAAATTGTTCTCACCACTCCTATGTTGCTCATTTCTTAGTAAACAAACCAAACAAACAAAAAACAAATTTCTAAGCCTCCCCCTCAGTCTGCAGATTTCCTAAAGACTCTTCTGCACAGGCAGACATTTTCTTACCAGGTTGGAGATTTTAAGAGTGTGGAAAATGACGTTGGATTTGACTTGGCAGAATGGGACAAGCAGAGAAGGTAAGGAAGGGGGAGAAGAGGGAAGAAAGGGTGTCATGTTCAAAATAATCTTGATTTCTAACAAATAGCACTGCACAAATTTAAGCATTTTCAGAGATAGCCTTAACAGTTCCGTTAAGTTTTTTACTCTCTCTCTCTCTCTCTCTCTCACTCTTTCAAAATGTGATTTCAACAGTCCTGCTGTTTTCAAATGAACTGAAAGAAGTACTGTGTTCAGAAGGGACAAGGATGGGCTATAGCATATGACCGGAGAGATACAAAAGCCGCTTTATTTCACTGTATGTTTGCACTGGCAGGCACCTAGAAACATACCTGCACATAATCCACACTTCGTCCCAGGGCTCTGAAGGCTGTGTACATGACTTCCCTCTTTCCACCCCACTTTTGCATGATGCAGATACTTTTGTTGGACAAGACCAACTGGGTAACATATATCGAACTCTCTTTGTGCGACTGCTCCGTCTCCCCGGGACCCTTTTCGTGGAAGTTGTTTTTCCAGATGTAAGTGGTGGACTTGTCCCTGCCCATGACTTCACTGAAGATATCCATCATGTAAAGGTCGTCATCTGAGTTGCCATCTATGACCATGACGACTTTAATTCCAGGGTAGGTGATCCTTTTCACAGATTGCAAACATTTCCTTAAGTAGGTGGGATCTTCCTGATAGGCAGCAATGCAGAGAGCAACTGTTTTGTTCAACTTAATTGGGGTTTCTAGGGACCTTTTCATTTTTCGATGCTCCAAAAAGGCAAATAGGCTTTGGATGATGAGGTGTGATGCTAAAAAGGCACCATAGAGTCCAAAGGAGAAATAGTAATTATCCGTATGGATAAACTGGTAGCCAACAACATAAGCAGCTGTGAGTCCAAGGAGAAGAGAGACTCCGAAAAGTGTGGTTCCAATTATTCTCAGGATGCATAGAAATCTCTCACAATGCATCTGCAATAGAATAAAGCAACAGGCTTGATTAACCATTCCTGTGCCCCGCGCCTGCTATAAACATGCTATCATGAAGAGGATGTTAGACTAGAAGCATCCAGGAGTTCTAACCCTGCGTTTCTTATTGAGCTAATGGTGTGCCTTTTCTGTACCTCAGTTTGCTCATCTGCAAAACAGACATAAGGACTGTTTCAAAATTCAGATGGTACGATAGTGCCACATATCATGGGAAATTCAAATTCATGGCTTTAAGATTCTCAATGCCTTAGATCACTTGTCTAAGCCTGAAGTTTGCAGATGTGGTCATAGTGGGGTCCTAACACCTAGGGCAATCTCTCTCCCTGCATCTCCCCCCACTTCACCCCCGCATTGCCTTTTTCACTACCAGTACTGACTACAGAAGGCTTTGATAAATTTCTCATTCATAATTTCATCTCATCTCTAACATTGTTGTTGTTGTTGTTAAGTGCTGTCGAGAGAGTTCTGTCCCATAGGGTTTCCAAGGAGCACAGACCTTGCAGTTCAAAAGACTTTGCAGTCCAGCACATGAACCCACAGCACAAACCAGGACTTCCACATTTCAAGTCTGACCCTTGCCATGGAGATCAGGATACTGGTAATCCCATTCTCATCTCTTTCACTAACTAGCTGTGTGACCTTGGGGGAGTCGCTCTTGGTGGGGGGAGTCTCAATTTTTAAGTAGGTAAGTAAGAGTACTTAGACTCAATTGTTTCCAAAGTCTTTTCTGGCATTAAAAATACTCTAATTCCTAGGCATCTTGTCTGTCCAGATACCTACTGAAGCCCTTATAATTCTGAATTCAACTTTGTCCCGATGTCTGTCTCCCCCATTCACCATCATAAACCACCAGACTGTAAGATCCTGAGGAATTAAAACAAAAGCCTTCTCTGATTCATCTCTCTGACCTTCTTGCCCTGTGGCTTAGCACACCTTCTGAAGCAGAGTTTGTGCATAATAATAGTTTTTAGACATAACTAATAAATAATCTCATTCTTAATTTCAACAGTAGAGTTTCCCACCTTCGTGGAAGCTGTAGCTCATTAAACATGAAACATTCAGCCAACCAATAGATAGGTACATTACTGTTATTAGTTAAGTGCTATCTAGTTGGTTCCGACTCATAGGGACCCTGTATAGGGTTTCCAAAGAGTGGCTGGTGAGCTTGAATGCACAGACCTTGAGGTACAAACTGACCTTGCAGTCCAGTGCATTAACCCACAACGCCACATAGGAGACCCAAACACTAGTGAGGCACACAGACCTTAGATGGCCAACCATTAAAGATCAAAAGAGCAGCATTTACCTATGGGACACAGTTCAGCATGGTGGAGAAAGGAGTCAGGGAAATAAGAACCACAGAGAAGAGATAGGATTGTGATGTTACATGGAGGGGATTGCAATCATTGAGATGAAATACAGTGTATGATTTACTGAACGCAAAGTGAATGGTTTGCTTCACTCAATCCACAAGTTAGAAGGGGAACCATTGTTTTTTAAAAAAGAAAAGAAAGAAACTTATATATGTGACATGGTGGAAAAGTGCACTGGACCGCAAGGTCAGTTTGAACTGTAAGGTCGGAGGGTTCAAATTCACCAGCAGCTCCTCAGAAACCCTATACAGGGTTGCTATGAGTCAGAGCTTACTCAAAGCCACTTAATAACAATTACAGCCAATGTTGTACTCCTTTCTAAAGCTTGTGTATCTCTTGAATAAGGTTTTTAATAACTCAGGGATAGAAGGACAACTTCTCTGTATTTTCTAAGCCATCTTTAATGTTGGGCATTTATTTTTCCCTCAAGCTGATTTCCTTCCTCTGCCAAGAATGGACACAGGGACCCATATGGTGTAATGTAGTGTCCTCAAGTTCAATCGTTCACCCCAACTTCAAATTTGTTTGTACTTACATTTAACTAGTACTTTATCTTTTTATTTAATCTAAATAATTTATGAACACCAAATAAATCTCTGTAAAGATCTCTGTAAAATCACTTGATATGCTCTTTACATTTAAAAAATATTTATGTTCTTTATATATTTCTCATTCATATTAAAATAAAATGCTCACCTACAATGGTCATGGTGGTTACTGACATTCACATGCTATGCCCTGCAGCTGTACATGGCACGTAGTCCTGAGTGGGGATCCAGTATACTCTGCAGAAATATTAAGTAGCTGCTCACCCATCCTTCCTGAGCACAGAGTTCCAATCGTTGGAATTCTGAGATGTGCAACTTCCAATAGTAATTTTAAACAGACAGTAGGCTTTCTCCAATCTCTCTTTCCCAATGCACAGCAAAAGGTCCTGGCCCCAATGCAGAAGGAGCTTCATTGTCTTAAGTCGCTGAATTGTCACATGGCAGGGGACCACCCACCATTTAGAAACTCCTGTCCTAGAGACTCCTTGTTGGCAAGAAATAATCTTCTGAGTTTTCATTTGTTTGTATGATTTTTCTGTGTACCCACCATGCATTTTGAGTTTTAGTTCACCCTAATGAATGCATCCTGGTGTGGACTAATGCAAGGTTGGCAGTTCAAACCCACCACCTAGCTGCTCCCCGAAAACTCTATGTAGGGTCAGTATGAGTCAGAAGCAAATCGACAGCTCTTACCAACAACCACCACCATTAGTACAACTTAGGTAACGTGAAGCAGTCTAAAGACAGAGTTCTAGCTTACAATCATCATTTCGCTTTGCTTACTGGAGATAATAATACTTATCAAAGCCACGATATAAAATAGTGTTTGTAAAAGTGCTCTAAAAATCCAAAATCTCAATGTAATTTAAAGCATCTGCTAACTGAAACAAAACAAAACCACCTCATAGGGGGTTCTTATGATCTCTATGGAAGCAGTTTGCCTGGTTTATTTTCCTTGGTATGACTAGGTGGGTTTGATCTGTCAACCCATAGGGTTAGAAGTTGAGTGCAAACTGTGCCACCTGGGGACCTACCTGCTAACTAGGAAGCAAAAACAAAACAAGATACAAAGGTGAGAATCTACTTCTACCACCTAGGTATGGTTTCATAGGATGCCATGTGAGTTTGATGAGAGTAATCATACCACAGAAGGAAAATCCAGGTGGCTGCAGAATGGTGAAATGCTGAGTTTTTAGCTAAAGGCATCCCTTGTTAATGAACACAGTTGACAGGATGGTTGGGGACTCCACAAGGAGACATGAACTAAAACATAAAGGTGCTGGGAGCACCAGACTTGGGGCTATCTATTCCAAGATGTGACTCATTCTCACAAGAGTGAAACATTTCAAGGGGACTCAAACACTTTGCCAGGGAGAAGTTTAAGTGTGTGCTTAGCTTGTCTTTAAAAGTTACCACAGCCAACAAAACACCGGCCTGTCTTTCTTTCCCATTATTCACATTTTCCTTGCTTTTATCAGCACACATGGACACAGCAAGTGTTCACATAGCATCTGCTGGCCACAGCTAAAGTGGGAACACCCTCTTATGTCATAAGCATCTACATAACATCCTTTTGTGGCCTGGGAAAAGTTACTAGCAAAACTGCAGCAACATGACTAGAATTAAACCTTTACATATCTGCAAGACACTTCATTGTTGCTTCATGTGACACACGCAGCCTCTCAGCACAGGTCAAGGGGCAAAAGGCATGTTTTAGAGCCAGCTTTGTGGAGGGAATACATTGATCTCAGAGAGTGACACACAAGATGTGTTTCTTTATAATTTCCCCTGGGTGATTTCAGAGATATGGGTACCACATGTGCTGGGATTTCTGAGACAATCCCCAATTCAAATGCTCTGTTTTCCTAAGCACACTCTCCTTGTCAGACATGTGGCTTTGTTGTTAAATTGGAAAATGAGGTTAATGCAATCCTAAACCATAGAGCTTACTGCTCCAGGAAGAGATCATTTAGAAATCTATATTTCATAAACATTTCAAATATAAAACTTGCATGGTTTTTGTGAGCTCTGGTAGTGTAGTGGTTACAAATCGGGCTGCAAACATCAAGGTCAGCAGTTTGAAACTACCAGCTGTTCCGCGGAAGAAAGATGAGGCTTTCTACTCCCCTAAAGATTTACAGCCTTGGAAACCCTGTACGGGGTCGCTATGAGTTGGAACCGACTCCACGGCACATAACCAACCAACCATATTAGTCTACTAATTGATTTTTAAATTGCTATCAGACTTGATCCTAATTGTTCACTAACTACTATACTCTAGAGAATTCTATGCCGACCAAGTGGTAGAAAATGGCTTCATATACCACAATGTAAGCCCCACAAAGTTATTGATTTCCTTTTATATATTTCCAATGACATGCCCTAAGAACATAAAGCATGGCTTGGATTATAGTGGCGGTTGTTGTTAAGTGCTGTCAAATCTGTTCTGACTCGTATCAACCCTGTATAAAGATTCCAAGGAGCAGCAGGTGGTAAAATCTAAGGAGCAACAGGTAGGTTTGAGCTGTCAGCCTTGTGGTTAGCAATCCACTGCTTATCCTATAGCACTACATCAGGACTCCTGTATGGTTGGTACTCAGTAAATATTTATTGAATGAATAAATGGAATTTTATTGATCATTATCCTCCTCCTCATCATGGCAGCTACGATTTATGGTGTGCAAGGCTCTATTTTGTATAATGTCATTGTTAAGTGCCATCAATTCCATCATGACTCATAGAGAGCCTGTAAAGGGTTTCTAAGGGGTGACTGGTGGATTCTAACCACCAACCTTGTAGTTAGCAGTCCAGCATCTACTGAGCAATGCCACACCAGGGCCCCGTTAATAGTATTATCTTACTGAATCTTAAGGACTTTTTCTTTGTTGTTGTTGTTGTTAAGTACTGTTGAGTTGGTTATGACTCATAGCAACTCTGTATAGGGCTCCTGGGGAACAGCTGGTAGGTTTGATCCATTGACCTTGCAGTTAGCAGTCCAGTGCTTATCCTAGTTATTGTTATAGTGACATACACGTGTGATGAAGACACTGAGTGTTTAAGC